TGTGATAGGGAGGCAGAATACCTAGGGCACGTGCTGAAGGGATGTGAGGGAAGAACGGCGAAAGAATGTGTGGAGTTAGTGAACGAGGAAGCGGATGGTTTGAGCTTATTAAATGAAATATTAAAAAAGAGGAGGCTGTAACAGTTTTGTTTTTATCTTTATGAAGTGAAACTTCTTTACGCACGGTAGGGTAAGTTCGTTTCATGCGAGTTGCTATGTAACGAAATCATGCAACGGATGTCCCCTCTCTACACGGCCACGTAGTCGAGTTCGTAGTGGGGATCGCTTGAGCCGTAAGCGTGCTTCAATGCAACGTTCGTTACAGACAACTCCGGCATGTATAGTGTAACCCTAACAAAATGTATGAATGTATTTGTATGTGTGCCTACACTCTACAGTCGAAACGACGCCACTGACGCCAATTCCTTAACCCCTATCCCGGTATGTTTGTGTGTTTGAAGTAGTTTCACTTCAGTAGCGTGTTGTATGATTACACATAGTATTTTTTTATTGTTTGTTTGATTTTATTACTATTGTTATTTGTATTCTACCGTATTGCAATTGATTTTATAAAATTATTCCCAATTTGAATAGGTATTTTCATTTTCCATTCTTCATAAAAATTATATTCAATAATTGACATTAATAATCAAAATATTTAATGACTAAACTGTCAGTATGGGTATTTGAATGACAATAATTAAAGCTCCAGCTTTTCTACTGTAAATTCGGCATACTTTTTCGAAACTTACTGCTCTGATACTTTTTTTTTTTTAAAAATTAATATTTCGAAAACGGTAAAGTTTAGAAGTAGAAAAGTATTATAAAAGTCTACCTAAAATCATAAGTAGAATTCAAAACCGTCATAATATACTGGGTGTTCCATTTAAAATAACCAAGTTGGGTCAACTTCCGGCATAACCGGAAGTGCTACATAGATGCTGTTACTTTAATTGAGGAAAGCATATCCAATAACGATATTGTCCAAATTTTCAAAAATTCAAATCGAAGTAGTTTGCGAAGTATTCTAATGGGTAGTCACATAAATGTCTCTACTTAAGTATAAAAACCGACTTCAAAACTTTGCTTATATGTACAAACTTTATTACAAATTTATAATCTTTTAGTACCACTATTACTATTACAATGGATATAAAAATAATGATTCCACCGAAGATTGATTGTAAAGTTAAATATTTTTGTTTTTCTATTAAACCACTTTCGATAGTAAATAACAGCCTTAAGGGGAGTCAGGGGACTCATATCACGTAAGGCCGGCATTGAATATTGTCATTCTAGAAAAAATACTAATAAAAACTTTATATTTAAAAATCTACCCCAACCTCACGCCTGACAAAGAGGGCAGGGGTCGCTAATATAAATATTTAGCTAATTATTAATTTATTTTTCGTACAATAGTTTTAAGCCGCATTAACTGCAAAGTCATGGGTCATTTACGGTATTGTTACACGATTCAAACATTTAAATTCTGTCGTACAATGTGAAATCTCGAAGAAATTCTAGTACATTTTTTTATGTAGTTTTGGGTTATTCAGGTGTTCACTAAACGATGTAGCAAGACTACGTTTCCTTCTTTGTAAACTCAGGACAGTTGTTGATAATTTGTTGCACTGATAGGAAGGTGTTTGTATTACATACATATCGGAGGTAGCTCATTTTAAACTAAATGTATATGAATTTGATTAGAATGACTTATTCGGAGTTTTTGTATGATTACCTCTTCTTTACGTTTGAGATCTGAATTTCGAAATTTTTCGAAGACATCTTTTCTAATTTGCTGTAGTTTTTTGGGAGACTTTCTCAAATGTTTCTTGATTTTTCGTTTAGCCTCTGGTTTGGTTAGGGGAACTATTGCAGGATACGGAATCGGTAGCGCCTTTTTTTGCAAGTTCGTCTGCTTTGTCGTTTCCATGAATGTCAGACTGAGACAGTATCCAATCTAAGATTTCCTTGGCCATCACACCTTCTATTAGTTGATGGACGACGTTTCTTATCATTTAATTAGTTTGTAAAGGGTTCTGCAAGGCTGTAAGTATGCTCAATGAGTCGGTCACAATTAGAGAAGATTCTTTATTTTGTGTTTATTAATTATGTGGCTTTCTGAATGACATGGGCTTCGCATATGAATATACTGAAAATGTTTGGTAATTTNCATGGTCCTGGCAATCAGGCATGGGTCATGCTTAAAACCTAACTGTGCCCCAGTCCTGGCAACCAGGCATGGACCAGACTTGAAACAACTATGGCCCAGCCCTGGCAACCAGACATGGGCCAGACTTGAAGCTTAACTATGTCCCAGCCCTGGCAACTAGGCGTGGGCCAGTCCTAGTAACCATTATTGGGCCAGCGTTATCATTCCAGACTTTGACCAAGACTGGGCCAAGTCTGGCTTACAAGTCTGGCCCAGAGTTCTGCATAGTTGGACCAAGGCTGGTCCAAGCCTGGGCCCGCCGTACTTTCCTACATGGGAAATGTTAATAACAAATTTTGGTGGAGGTATTTCGTAAAATGAAAACTGACAAACATTTAACACATGCATGCTATGCTCACAATATATTTGGAAAGAGCAATTTCTCTCTGTCTTTCTCTTTCTCTTAAGAGGGAGAGAGATTTCCGGTAACATGTTCGATTTTTGGTCAGGAAAATTTCCTCAGACCTAGGGAATTTAGAGCCAGTTTAAGGAAAAAGTGATTTTTATTTAATTCATAATATACCTAGTTTAATTTTTGTGCCAAATGAATTCTTGTTGTTTAAAAGTTATTACTTGCACTTTTCTTTAAATATTGGTAAATAATTTAAGAAAAAAAACGCTTTCGTTATTTACGTTAAATGAATTTTTTTCCTTTTTTCGTAATAACAATCTCCGACGAAATATAAGAAGATTTCAGTAAAAAAACTGGGGAATAAAAAGAAATTAATCTGGCAGCACCGATTTTTGCTGGTTAGCTTCTTGCCGCAGTAACTTCGCTCCGAAAACTAAACAATTAAATAAACTTAAATTACTTACCATTGCTGTTGGCTGAGTCTGAAGGGATTTTAACCCTAAAAATAAAAAACAAAACAAAGTAATCAATCGCTCTTTTGTACAATAAAAACAAGGATCGTAATAAAATATAATAAAATAAAACCGAATGCAACGTACGAAGAAAATTCGATATTTATTGCAGTCTCTCAACTGTAGTAACATATAGAAAGACAATTACATGCTATTTTCCATCAATTACAATATGATTTACAACAGTTGTGATCAGTGGCGGATTCAGAGGAGGAAATGAGGAAATTAATCCTTCTCTTCAAAAGCTCTTTATCTCATGGGTTGCTTCAATATTGTGAAAGTTAATGTTGTGTGAGAAAAATCGAATTAGGAAATTTACCCCTGGATATCACAAAAAGTGCCAGCTAATTAGCTGAAAATTCGTCATTTGTTTCGAAAAATTCGGACTAGGCCAGATTTTTCATGTAAATTAGTAAAAAATTAATTTCATCATTAATAAATTTGAAATGCGAGGAATTTTATTTATCAATAATTTAAGGTCGTTCTTTCGATATGTTTCTACTTTTTCTTCAACCGTTTTTTTCTGTTGATTTAATTGAAAAAGGTTACACAATAATGTTGTTTAGAATTACCTTTTCAATAAGGGCATTGGGATCCGATTTTTCCAAGTAGTAAATGTTCTGTAATGAATAAAGATTTATCGAGAAAAGGCGATTTCTTTCGTGTCCACTTTTAAACTAGAAATTCGTGTACTATTGCATTGAAATTTTCGGAAAGGAAGCATTTTTTATAGTTATTATTCCGAACGAATAAATAGGTGAGTAACAATTAATTTGCTAATAAAAGACGTTTATAAATTTTATAATTCTCCCAAGTGTTAATTATTGATCTGATTTGTTTTTAGGTAAGATTCATTTATTGGCTTCAAATTAATCATCGTTTATATTCT